TAATTACAACGGAACCGGACAATTGTCTGTCGGTTGTCGGAGGAGTCTGGTGGACGGATGATGATCTACATCTTGCCCACATAGACGAAGATTGGGGCCAAAACCTGCCAAATGACACCTGGTAGTCCAAGGAAGTGGATCACATGACTAGAAGCGGGTGGTACTTCGAGCCCCCACACTTAGACGAACTAGAGGCATCCGAAAAGGATAGAGAGGCAGAAAAATAGAAGGACAAACAGTTGGAGGAAGAAGCTGTTCTGAAGTAGCCAAAGAATATCCAAGCAAATATATGCATCTGGGGTTTGCTCATGGCTTCACGAGTACATAGCCAAGCAGTCCTATCAGCAATGGATAAGGCCAAGCTATCCATCAACATAACCCCCGAGCAACTAGTGGGACTTGTCTTCTCGGGAGGGGCCTCACCTACTTTGACCTTTTCGGATAAGGAATTGCCGCCTGAGGGCTCTTCACATAACAAACCATTGTACATCTCGATTGAGTGTAGAGAGAAGTGGGTACTGGTTGTATTGGTGGACACTAGGTCCCCAATCAATGTGTGTCCGTCTCACACAGCCTATGCTATTGGCTTGAAGCCAGTGGACTTTGTACCAACGACCCAGGTGATCCGAGCTTACGACAACACAAGTTGAGAGGTGATGGGGACAGTTCAGATCAGAACACAGGTTGGCCCGGTGCAACAGGATATTGAGTTTCACGTCCTGGATGTTTCGGCCACTTTTAACTTGCTCTTTGGACAACTGTGGCTGCACCAAGTAAAAGTTGTCTCTTCCACTCTTCATTAGATGTTGAAGTACCCCCTTAGAAAAGGGGTGGCCATTGTGTTTGGAAACTCATCAATCCATCCTCCGCCTGAGGTCACCACGCTAGTACTGGAAATTGTGCACAGCGATGAAGATGTTTCCCTGTCTAGATTTACCTTGGCTGAGGCCTGGGTGGTACAAGATATCTTGGCTGTTGATAAGGGTTTGTATGTCAGTGCTCAATCAGTCTACCTCATGAACAAGCTACAATATGTACCCGGGATGGGATTGAGAAAGAGCGGCTGGAAGGGTGTTGCTGCACTGGCCAAAGTGCCACACAACCCTCATACCTTTGGTCTAGGTTACACGCCTACCAAAGAGGATTGGGTAAGAAAGG